GCAAAAGCATGTAAATGTCTTATTTCCTTCATAAGCCTTTGAAAATAACCCTCCTGGGTCTCTTGCCTTTTGCTCTTGGCTCTGAATGGCACTCCAGGGAGTTGGCATCTCTTATCAGAAATGAGCAGCCAGGCAAGGGGCAGCCAGCATATTGAGAGACCATAATAGTGTGTTGGTCAAGGGCAGCAGACAGGTACTGAAAGGTCTCTTGTTGTGTTAAACAAATGCTATTTCCTTCCTGCCTTAAGTGAGAGCTCATTTTTTTGTAAGCTTCTCTTTTGGCAAAAGAACAATGGGGATAAATAAGGCAACCTTTCCACTGAGAGATATGCATTAGATTATCATAAATCCACAGATCAAAAGTACCGTGGTCAATGAGAACAGGCGTTGTAAGATTAAATAAAAGGACTAATTGAAAGTGGTGTCCCAGGGTAGACAGAGGATTGACACAATATTGAGTAGATATAACCAGGGACTAAGTAGAAAAGGAAAGAAAACAATGCAGAGTACTTTTTTCAAAGGTTACAATTCTGTTTGTACGGGTGACTGTGCAGGTTTGTGTGCTTTGGGCATAAGAGAAGGCTACAAGTATTTTATTACTGTTTAAAATACTGAGAATTTGTTGGTGAAAATTACATACCAGTAAAATTTTAGGCTGTTGTAAGAGTCTTTTGTTATAGGCTTTTAATTAAGAAATTGGAGACCTGAGGTATAGATGTGCATCTAAAAATTAAGTAAAATCATTGGCAGAATATCAATTAATTGAACACATCCCGAGGCCCATGAATAAAGGCTGAATAAATTCAGTCTGCATTTCTGAATGTTATTTAGCACATATCATTAGGGCTTTCTGCTCCCAGATCTAGTGAACTCTGTATTCTTTCACGTTCATACAAATTCTTCTGAACTTTTTTGTCTGGTTTGTGATGATTCAGTAAATGTGAGAATTCATTTTACTGAAGTACTATGCGGTTATCTCAGTAGATGAAAACATTCCTGTCCTGATTTTCCTTGTGAGGAATGGTGCCTGTTCAGTTGTTTGCTCCATTCTGTTTAACAGCTGATTCTGGACAGCAAGCAGACAGACTGCCTCTGACTTCTGACTACTGCATTTGGTCCAGGAGAAACCACCTAGAGAAAGAGAGGAGACTGTCTTCCGCAAGCAGTTGAAAGAGCTCAGGAACTATCTGGGTAAAATGCTGGATGGTGCAACCAGGAGGGAGCTTTGCAGTAGGAGCTGCGGCTGGCAGACCCCTATAAATAGTCGGGAACAAACATCACTAAATTGCAGAGGTGACTGGGAAGGGAAGCGTGCATATCTGGAGGGGACTGTTCAGAGCTTGTTGCAGCTGAGGAAGCCACTGAAGGATGACAGGCTAAGATGTAGTAAAGCTTGAAGGAGGCACCTACCAACAAGGACAAAGTGAGCAGTAGCAAGGACAAAATGAGCAGTGGAGACTGATTATTCAAGTGTTTAGTGGGTTTGTGAGGAGGGTTTGGTTTCGTGTGTGTGTAGTTTAGTTCTTTTGGGGGGGCTGGTTTTGTTTAGTTTTTTTTCTTTTTTAACTTTAACCTTGTGCTGTTAACTATGTTTTATTAATACTTAAGAGTTTAAAAGCCCTTTTGCTGTCTCCAGTGTACCCATCTTAAAGTAAAAGTACAGGCCTGGCCACCTGAAAGTTCTGACCATCTTGAGGTCTTATCACTGGGCTGTCTGGACTTTGATTTATGCCAAAATTTCTCGTTCATCATAGCACCATTGAGTTACTTACCTGTGTCTGTAGTAGGGAATAACTTCAGTAATATACTGTCATTTAATTCCTGAAGTGCTGAAATGTGATACATTTGTCATGGAAAATACACGATGTGATTGTTGACTGGGTAATTTACAACATTAAACTTAAGTGTTTCCTGGGCTAGAAATATATTTGTGTTGTAGCTCCTTTCATTCATTCTATGTTTGAGTGAATTCAGATTCTAGGACAAGCTTGAGATAAGAAATATTTCTAATAGAATTCAAGCATTAGTGCATTGAATAGGACTTCCTTTTACCAGACAGTAATTGAGCTGATGATGGTTGCTCTATTGTAAAGTATTGATGTCTTGGGATAATGTTTTAGCAAAGTCAGGGAAATAGAGGCAGTAGGAATCCAGCTGTATGAGTCACTAGCAGCATTTAATATTCATACCTGCATATTCTAGGAACAGGGACCATCACTCATGAAATTAGTTGCCCAAATGAAGCAGTTAATTGATGAGCTGTTAACTTAAGGATGGCTGGAGCTCTTTTGGCCATCAGTAAAAATGCATTCCTTGGGAAGAGCACTATCATCAGGATAATAATTTGAGACCATTTAGCAAGTATAGGATGAAATCAAGCTTTTCTAGGTTTTGTTCATCCCCTTTTATTTCTCATCTGGTTTTCCTCCTTTCTACTGCTTCTCCCATACTCCCATAAAGACAAGTTTTCAATCTTGTATTTGCACCAGGGAGTCTTGATGTTGTAGACTGACTACCAGGCATTTGCTATCAGATGCTATGCAATGAGTAGCAAATGAAAATGTTAAGGAGGTAAAGACAGAGTTTACTTGGTCTGATAATTAATTCATCAATGATTTGTAGGTGTGCATCTCCTTTCCCTGTGAAATCATTGGAATGTCATTCACCTCCTTCATGGGTAACAAATTATTTTAAGTACTATTCAGCATTATTTTTAAATCAACTTTTTCTAGATCTTATGGTAAGGTTGAATATAACGAAAAAGAGAGTCTTTTAGGATAATTGGACTATGTTGAACTAGATGTATGTCCTGTGACAATAAGCCCCCTTGCTGCTTTCCTTGTAGTACTGGGAAAGACAAAACCACAATATTGAAGGGGCAAGAGTCTGGTGCGGGTGTCATGGATTGAAGTAGAAAAATAGCAGCAGCACACAGGAACTGCGTGCTTCGGGCACCAGGAAAGTAATACAAACTAGACTGTCCTGAAGGGCTGCACGAGACATCACATGTTGGGGACACTGAGAAAAACGCCTGTCCAAATCTGGACAGGATGTTCCATTTGGGTAGAGTTCTGATCTAAGAGTTGTGAATTGGCTGGCAAGCATATGCATGTTTTGAAAAATAGAAGATGGGGCAGAAAATCTTTCTTCTAAAACCTTAAATGCAAAATGCTGTTGTTAGAAGGCCAGTAAATAGTGAGGCCTTTTCCTTACACTGATTTCTCTTGAAGGAAGTTAGAGCAGGAGTGTTTACAAATTATCATTTTGTATTGTTCGCATTAGTTATGAATTTGTAGGTTTTGGGGAGTTACGTTCAGGATGTCTCAATATCCACAGCTAAGAAATGAAAGTGACAGATCTGTAACTGAGAATTGTCTACTGGTGAACAAAGACAAAAGCACAAATGAGTAACAGATACTAGAGACAAGTGCTGGCATCAAGACAATTGTCAGTGTTGGTGCTATGTCATTTTTATATTTCACAGTTAGGCAAATTGTGTTGACTTAATATCATGCAGTTACATTCCAGGAAGAATGTGAGCATGGTGTGTATTGGGATTGAGGTTTATAGTCCTAGCACTCTGGCTCATGCAATTCCTCTAGCGAGTGGCTGCTTCTCATCAGTGAAAGGGCATCTGAAATAAATTAAAGTTTACTTGGTGGTTGCTTCATTTGTTGCTTCAGGACAGTAATTTCTGCTCTCTGTTCAGAATTTCTTGTTGATCAGACCAGATAAGAGATGAATATAGGGGACTACTCTGGCTGCTGATAAAATATCTGTACTGCTGGTGCCTTTGCTGACAATTGCATTGATACTGTATGTACTGCAGCTTAGGCCCTGTGAACAATGCTTCATTAGGTAAAAGGGGGATTGGCCCAGCTACCTCACTCCTCCTTGTGTGTGGCCTCTACTTGATAATATAAGACTTTGACATGCTTGCAAGCAGCCCCCAGTCATCTTTTTCAACTTGAAATTCCCTGTAATTCCTTTTCGTGTTGTTTTTTCCTATTAATGTTTTAACACTCGTCTTACAAAGAACAAAAAATATCCAAGTGACAAGAAGCATAAACTAATAAATTGTCTTTGATTTATATGGACAAGGAAGAGTGCAGTAAAATTGGGTGTGATGCGTAAGGTTTTTTTATAATAATGCCTTCCATGAGCACTTTATAGTAGGTCTCCTGTCCTAGTTTTTTCTGTAGAGTGCCAGTATGAATATTTCAGACAAGAATTTGATTTTGTTTATTTTCATTATTCTAACTTGCTTTAAAAATACAGAACAGGCAAACCTCCACCCCCTCAACCACATACAACTCTACGAAACTGCACATACAGTGTACAGTGAGAGAAAGTCCTTTCTTGGATACTTGGATACTTAACTTGGCACTCTTGTAAACAGCAGTCTAATCTAGGAAAAACTGTGGGATTGACCTATACCAGGAGGAAAAAAAATTCTTAAGAAACCTCTATGGATTAAAAGTATGTACAAGGGAGTTAGTGCAGAATAAGTTACTGTGTTTCCATTTCTTACCCTTGCTTTTGTTGAATCAACTTCCCTCTGTAGACAGGTTTAAGGGAAGGATAATTTTTTAAGGATGAATCTCAATTTTCAGAAGGGAATGGGATTTAACAGTACAACTCTTGTTACAGTTTGTGAGCTGCATGTAAAGATGTTGAGATTTTTATGGCTTACATTTTTATGCAGCTGTGTTTAAAGTAAATATCTTTTCTATATTCTGCTGCAACATCAGTTTCATATCATGTGGAACTAAGCTATTTTACCTTCTATTTATGCATATTTGTGGGTATCATTAAAAATAACATTTTAAGCCATGTCGTGACAAAATGTCAGCTAAATGTACTGTTGGTTATAAGGCTGTTTCTTCAAGCTACTTTCTGGAAAAGAGGACTGTTTCTTATCTTGGGAACCTATGGAAACAACTCATCCATTGTCTCTGTCCCCTTTTCACCCATATTTTCATCCTTGTTTTCTCCAACAGAAAGGAGAGCCAAACTGCAGTATTCTGTCTCCGGAAACCACAGAGCAGTTGACCTTTGAGATTCCTCTGAATGATTCTGGATCTGCTGGACTTGGTGTGAGCTTAAAAGGCAACAAATCTCGGGAGACTGGAGCTGATCTTGGGATTTTCATTAAATCAATTATTCACGGAGGTGCTGCTTTTAAGGTATAGAAGAAACCCATCAGATGGTGATTACATTAAAATTCTGATGTTTCTATGATGAGTACTGAATGTCATTCAATTCTAGGAAGTAATAACTTTTTTTCACTCATTCCTTTAGGTGAGCTGTAAATCTACTGTTTTGTCCCAAGATTCTGGTGGTGTGTGTGGTAGGGTTTGCCCCAACGAAAGTGAATTGGTGGAAATTTTGGGAGGCATTTGGGTGCTGTAGGAAATGGGGAAAAGGGTGAAGGATGAGGGGATGAGGAAAGGCTGCCTCCCAGCTTCCCCACAGCTTACAGGGGCACATGGGAAAACTTGCATGTTGTTAGCCTCAATGGCAGATACCTACATTTATTGTCTATCTGCACTGATTTTAGTCCTCCCAAAGTGATAACAGTTACACCTATAAAAGCAATCAAAAGATAAACTTCTTCACAAAAAAGTAGAAATTGACAATTCTGTGCGGTTAAGGAACATGAGTTTAATTTATGCTGTAAATTAAAAGCTAGCTTGCCATTTTCTTTCTTTTTTTATTCCAAATATTTTTTACCACTGTAATAAAAATGTAACTTGGCTGAGCCTTCCATCAGTTATGCAGGTAACCAATTGTTCCTGAGATGGATTGAAGTGGTAATACTAAATCGGTAAATGAAAGTGTTTGAATTGTTGTGCTCCCTCTAAGGACTATATAAGGACTGCTGGGCATTTTTATGATTTTAAAAGTATTTGAGTTATTTTCTAATCTTTAGGAAAAAATGTTGACTGTGGTTTTTTTCCCTAATAAAACTTGGAAAAGGGAACTTTCTTGAAATTAGAAAAGAGTGTTAATCTTGCAGAGCTAGTATGTTTAACTTTTGTGGATCCATAAGGTAATTTTTTTTCTCTTGTATTATCTCAGCAATTCCTCACTTTTCTCTTTTCTGTAAAAATACCTTTTAATTCATTGTATGTAAATTCCTCTACTGACATCAGCCTGCTGAGTAAGACAGTTCACAGCATTAAAACTTTCATAATCATCTATTTACAGCATCTAGTAAATAGCAGTAATTAAGATTTAGCTTTGATGTGAATGTTTAATACATCCCTGCTTCTATTATTTACCTGTCCCAGTCCCACTGTTATTTCAAAGCTCAGATCTTCTCAAGTATAACTGAGCCTAGTATATGCAGTTCAGAATACTGACTGTGGTTAACTCAGGGCTAAAATACAATTGAAATAAGCTCATCTACTTGTGTATCAGAAATGAGTTAAGGAACGAATGAACAAATTAGGGCTGGATAAACTCAATTTATGTGCATGTCTGCTATGAACTGCAGCTCATTTTACTGTGAAAATGTGGCTGCCCTCCTTGCTTTCCCAGGTTTGTGTTTCCTGAGTGATTGTCCACACTAGGTGCTTTGACAGTCTGTATTGCCACAGATAAACTCAGTGTTTTGAATAGCAAGGCTTGTGGAGCCATATTCTGACAGCACGAGTGGGCTGGCTTCCTAACTTGTCACATCATAGACATATAAAACAACTTTTTCTAGTTCTGTCTGTTTACCATTCTGTGTTCTTACACAGTTACTCCAAAGCTTAGCTTGAGGGATCTGCATACTAACAAAGCAAGATTTCTGTGCTCACACCAAAGTAAACAGGCAACTGGCACAGATAGTCACCATGGCCAGAAGATCATTTTGTCTCATGATAACCTGTGGTCCTGTGACCTGTTCTCTGATCTACCTTGTTATAACCCTTTCACCTATTACAGCTCTGTAGCAATAGATCTGAAAGCAGGCTCCAAAGCAAATGAGGTAGTAGCTGAGGCTCTAGCTTCGCCCAGAACTGTTGAGAGAATCTTTCTGATGTGTTTTTTTTTGTAAGTACTCACAGAATGCAGTCATTCTGGCAGTGTCTTAAGAGCCACAGTTAACTGTTGCATATGGATGGAGAACAGCTGTCTTTCTCCTGTCTAATGACCTTTACATAGAACATAATCAGTGGGTATTAACAACTAATAAAATTTCTTGTATCAAGTTAAAAAATGTGCACAATTTTGTGTGTAAATATTTAAAGATGTCCTTACTGTCCTTATTTTAAATATGTTCTTTTTAAAAAGCCTTTCTTTCCAGCTGGTAGTTGTCCAGAGCATTTTCCCATGCTATTCATTGTAACTCTTTGAAACAGGGTATTACAGATTTAGACATGTGCATTTGCTTTTCAATGTGCATAGTTTTCTTGGGAAACTATCACAGGAGGAAATCATAATGGTCACTGACATGAGAATTCTCTCACTTTTTCTCACTTCTGCATTTAGAGTTTGCTGATTGAACCATTATGTCTCCTTTTAACCTCCTTTTGCAACTTTGAAGTGTCTATATTTTTTATCATCCCTAAGATAAAGAGGTTACTAGAATACTTGATATTTATAATTACTCAGAGCCTTTCATGTGAAGAAAACAAACATTTGATTGAGTTTAAATGCGTCGTCTTTCCCCTGTAACTTTAGGGATTTCAGCCTTCACGTTCAACTTGAGACATCTTGGCTTTTCACTTGTGATGCATTCCTGATGATGAGGTATTTGCTGCCTACTGCAGCTGAAATGCAGCAGAGCATTTATTAGAAAAAATAATGGAGTATTTTATATGTGTGCGTTTGTTCAAATCAAACATGGTGTAGCTTGAACCTCCTTGGGGCTTTTGAGTGCTGTTGCTTGTTGCGTGCAGTGTGTGGGGAACTGGATGATTCCAGTAAATGACATCAAGGAATTTCTTCTAAGAGAAGTGTCACTGATGTGAAAAGGGAAATAACTAGGTGTGCTTCGATTAAAAACAAAACTGCACAAGGAACATGGCATTATATCTCCCTGCCCTACTGTAAAAAGTGAGAGTCTTGTGACTGGCTGCCTGAATACGGTAGCTATGGGGTGTATGGTTCTACCCATTGCTGTGAGTCTCCATTAAAATAATTGTTTTTAATGAGTAAGGGGAGCAGCAACTTCACCCTTTAATAGATTAGCTCCCTTGCTGTGTCGGAGATGACATTTGAAAACTGTTTTGCTGAAGTGCCAAATGTTGTTTTTCTACTTGGAAGCCACAAAGAAACCTACCTTTAGGAGATGAAAGTTAAAAACGTGTTAAAACAACATTTACTTTGTTTTAAGCCAAGCAGATTGTCTTGCAGTTCAGGCTTCTAAACCAGGCCATAACACCAGTGATGTGAAAATCTATGAATGGAAACTGTGAGACGCTGGGATTTTTTTTTTCTTTTTCAGTTTTTAATATATCAAAAGTTTTTTTTCTGTGAAATAACTTCTACCCAAGCATGCGTGAAAACAGTGTTCAGCTGTCTTCCAACCTACCTTGTGCAGGTGACTTGGCAAGTGTAGTTGATCAACACTTATAAAGCATGCATCCTTTTTTTTTTTCCCTCTCAGATCATAGCTGGAGTGTTGGATTCCAGTTGAATTTTGCATTAAAATGGAGTATGTAACAGAGTGGGAAGAAGGGAGATGCATCTAAAGAAGTTCTTTAAGAACTGACATTATTAAGATATAAATAAACACAAAGTCTCATAAAAAAGTATTCCAAGGCAAATATTAGGCCAATTCTGAGCTTTCTGAGGCTGCAGTGATTCATTTAAAAACACACATTGTGTTCAGGACAGTTGCATAGTCAGTAGAGGTAGTCATGACAAGACGCAGTTGATGTTGTATTTGTATATACTTTAGTAAGAAGCTTTAACGTGTATTCATACATGAGTGTTCATCCACAGAAAGGAAAAATAGTAATCCAATAACCTGTGGGACCGCAGGAGGAAGACATGAGGACCTGTAAAATTTTGAAAGCCTTACAGAAACTCACAGAGAATAAATTCTTTTTTCCTTTCACTGCTGTTACCATGAATGGCTCCATTCATTTCAGCAAATTTTGATAGAACACGAAGGAATTGCAACATGTGCAAATAATAAAACTCCCTGTTCAACAATGTTAACTCTTCTCTCCTTAAACTTTAGCATGTGTGATGGCATCATTTTGTACGTAGAGAAAGGGTGGGGTTAACCTATTGACTTTGGCTGTGTGTAAATTTAAGTTGGCATGAAACGTTCAAGAAAGGTGGAAGAGGTTTCAGTATCATTTTCCAAATGGCATTGCTGTTTCCTGTGCTCTATTCCCATACCCTCCTGAAAAAAGTTTTATTTCTCCTCATTTTCCTTCACTTACTGACTCATCTTCCAGTTCTGTCTTCCCATCTTCTTGTCCCTCTTAGTTTATTTTGGATTTTAGTATATGCTATTCTTCAGCTCTGTGACTATTCATACTCTGCCATAGTAATGATGATATCCAGTTCCAACAAAAATACAACTTACTAAAGCTGAGTTTTTCACTGCTGCTGTAACTTACTTGAGCACCAATTACTTAGACTTGGCAGCAATAGCAGAAGAGTTAATTGAACATCTTAGTGATAGAAAAAATAAAAATCAAAAAATGTATGTGGTTTTGATTACTTAAACGCATGAAATATGTAAATAGTTCAGAAAAATACTGTATGAAAAGTATGTAGTGAGCCTATGAATGAATCACATTAATTTTAACTAAGCATGTATTTCTGTCCAAGGTCTTTCGCTGACATTCTTTCTTTACTGCCCTTCTAGACTGAGTGTCTCCAGTTTCTTACTCTTTCTCTTCCTTTGATGAATTATGCCAACCTGATAATTGTGAACTTGACTAGCTTAAAAAGAAATTCTTGTCTCTTAATTAAATAGACCTTATCCTCTTTTTAAAGAGAGAAAAGTCCACAGCACATGTTTTTATGAAAAGAAATAAATCACAGATAATAATGGCAACAGCACTAGGACTCCTAAGACACAAAATAGCAGTGTCCTCTATTTTATTACACCCACAAATATTGGTTAACCTTGGCCATGAAACTGAATGACTTTTCTTTCAAAGCATAGGCTACTTGAAATGGCTCAACCCCAATTTTGTTATTGACAGCAGGTTTAGATGTTAAAACACTTGGATGGCATTAATTAAAATAAGGATGCTTAAGCCTTAACCATTCTGAACTGAGAACACTACCCCATATGGTGGCATGGTAATTGTGATAAGATAGACACTAGTGAGCCTATAAGACAAAATTTTTGAAGCTGTTTCTTGCCAGACCCTAATAGCAGATAATAATGCATGCAAATAGCATTGCAGTACTCCTTTGTGTTTGCACTGCAGATACTAACAGCTATCATGTGGGTCCTTTTAACTAACCAAATGCTTCTTTTCCTGTTTTATTTTTAGAACTGATACGAATTAAATTGTATATGCAAGAAAAACAGCAGTGTGTGCATGCACTGCTGTGTTTGCAATTGCCCTATGAACTCTTCCCAAAGTAGAGTATAAGGAGGGGGCAAAAAAGGCCTATTAATGGCCACAGATTTCTCTGGTTCTATGCAGTCTCTTGTTTCTTAAATTTTAGAAATTAATATCTGATTGCCTTTATCTTGCTTTCCTGTATGTAGCACTTCTGCCTAGTAATATTTTTTTTTAACCTTTTGGTTTTATTTTTTGCTTGTAGGATGGTCGTTTGCGAGTAAATGATCAGCTTGTTGCAGTAAATGGGGAGTCTCTTCTGGGCAAGTCAAATCATGAGGCTATGGAAACACTGAGGCGCTCCATGTCCATGGAGGGGAACATTCGTGGGAGGATCCAGCTGGTAGTTCTCAGGAGACTAGAGGTGCAGACAGAGGTGAAGCAGTAAATGCATTTATTAGATGAATGTCTTTCTGGTCCCAGTGTTTCTTCATACAAGAGATACGGTGGCTGAAGTATGGGTCACACAGATACCTGGCAGAATGAATTCTTGATTTCCTGGAGTGTTTTTTGTTGATATCTCCTGGTCTTGCTGTTTCTGTTGAGACCAAGCTAAAAGTTGCCTGTTATTTGTGTGTGTGTGCGCGTGCGTGTGTGTGTGTGTGTGTGTTCTTCCAGTTCTGTCCTGTTATTTTTGTGTGTGTGTGTTCTTCTGGTTCTGTCCCCCCACCTTCTTTCTTTTTTCTTTTTCTTTTCTTTTAACCATCAAGGAATTAATATCTTACTTTCCCTGGTCAGTTAAAACCACCCCTTCAGGATGGGTTTCTGAATTGATTACCATAAAAATTGCTTAAGTAAGGTAACAAAGTAAGAGAAAGAAATTTTAATGGTTATGTTTTCTAGACCTCATGGAAATGTGCACACTCTTCATCTCACATAGACATGTGTATGTATAATGGCTGCCCCACTCCAGTTTTACTGTTGACCCTAGAGTAAAATTGTAATAGTTTTTTAGCATCTGTGCAGTTCCTTAAAATAAAAATACATGAGTGGATTTGGGGTATTAAAAGGTTGTAATAAATCCCTTTATAGAATTCCAAGAGATGATTTCAAGATTCTTACTTAATAAACATTGCTGGAACATTTTAAGATACTAAGAACAATCATGTTTGTGGGTGCATTTGTATAAAGTATCAGATAGGAAAAAAGAATGCAGGTCTATTTTAGTATCATTAACTTTTAATATTTTCTTGGTAATTTCCTATTTGACTTACTACCATCATTGATTGACTGATAAATAGATCTAGAAGTATATTACTTGCCAGACTTTGGGAGGACACTCTGCAAAAGCTTCGCTGATGTCAGTCGTGCCAGGGAAATGTGAGAAATACTCATTAAGAATTTCGGAATGTGTTAGAGGATTTTTGCTTTCCTTTTGCATGAGACATAGCATTATGCTGTAAGAAAAATTATGAAGTGTATGTTGTATTTCCTGTGCACTCATGTGACATAAGAAAGATAGCTCACCTTCAAATAAAGCTCACTCCTGCGAGTTTTCTTCATTTAACAAAAGCCAACCTTTAAAAGAGAAAAACTTGCACTCAGACATCAGATTGACCTTATAAAGGTGTGAGACTGCTTTTTATAGTTAAGTGTATAGTTTTGTATATTATCCAGATATATAAAAGTGGTAAATAATCTTGACTCGTGCCCTATAAAGAATGCATAATGAAATCTTGATTGAATAGAATTCATTTAATTTTTATAGGGTAGTCTTTAGGTTCAATTTTAATTCCATTTGAGCCTGGAGACCATAGCAGAAAGAGGTTGTTGCCCATTCTTTCCTTTCCCCAAAACAGCTTCCTGAGTGCTGCATCTCAGCTTGGTAGAAGGAGAATATGTTTAGAAATGCATTATTGTTTATATTGGTCAGGACACTAATGGAGGTCTTCCATGACAGCTATGTTTTATAAGCTGAACACTCTAATTAGGCTGGTTACTGATCAGTTGTTAGGATATTGATTGTGTCATTTATCAAAGAGCTGGAAAAGCAGATTTGTTGTTGATGTTAATTTAAGGCTCTCTATCCCACTGGGTACAAGTCTCCAGTGTAGTAGTGGTTGGGATACTGCAAGGCTTAATTTAGCTACCAGTATCTTATGTAAACTAAAGAATTTCCAGTAGCGAGAAGAAACATAATTGTCAGTGGCTGTGTGGTGTGTTATTTCAAATACCTCATACTGCACTGAAAAGGAGGAGAACATGTTACATGTGCTCTGTCCACTAGGACTACATTTGTAACTGGATTGTCAACAGGAGCATTCCAGCATTGATCTGTGTTCTGAGTTGCATTTTTTGCCATTGTATTATTAATTTTAATTGTTATTAGCCCATTATTATTGTTGTTGCTGTTGTTGTTATTATTATTATTACTATTATTCAGCTTGAAAGGCAGGTTGCAAGGTGATGTAACATACTGTCCTTATGCATTGGTTTGCAGGCCATCGCTTGCCAATGGATTAAATCCTTTGTATCATTTTACAAGGAAATTGTAAGGGTTAGATACATGCATTTCTTCTGGAGATGTGACTATATGAGATTTAAGGAATGGTATATTTAGCATAACATTTGCTGGCGTAATGAACATGCAGTTTAAAAATAGAAGACAGTTGGAGGCCCCTTTAAAAAGCAGATATAAAATCACAGAAACTATAAAGGTTATTTTGAAAACTATCCACAGTAGTCCCCTCTGTGGGTTTTCTGTTTTTCCCAAATAACAAGTACAGAAACATCTTTCTGGGTCTGTCCCAGTTTTAGAATCTGTGATTTATTTTTCCCCCCTTTTTTCTTTTGAGCAACTGCTCAGGAGAATAAATTAGGTGATGTGGCATGTATGGGGGGTGGGAAATATCTCAAAAGAAAAGCTGACTAGGGGTGTGACAGGAGTTTGTTTAGCTGCTAGCCAGAAGACCTGCGTTTGGGAGTTTGGTGTAACTTTACTTGCAAAACTGCTCTAGTGTGTGATCATCGGAACATATGCACTCAGTCTCTGAGAGAAGGGAACCAGCTGGCTGGCAGAAAAATACCATTGGCATTGCCCGTGTTCTTGTGTTGACAATGTCACAAGCTGCCCTCCCAGATGGAGAATTTGAATGAAGCCAGTTGTGGGTCATAAAAAAAAACAAACCAGTCTTCGTTTTTGTGCATCATCCTTAATGATTGTTATAGCTTAGGTATTGTCTGATTTCATGGTCAGCAAAACAGACAGTAATTTTGAAGCTATCTTTCAAGTTCTCGTTTGAAAGGAAGCAATGTACAGTGAACACATTACATTACAGTGTGTTTCTGCACTGTCTGTAGTGATGGCTGATCTTCTGCATTGTTGAACATTTAGGTATTTGTGTTACAATGTATGGTTCTGTTTTTCCCTTAGGAACGCTCAGATCAGGGAGTCTTTCAAAAATCAGCTTTTGATGGGAGTCATAACTTCGCAGCTGCTTCCCGACGCAATGATACTATTCTTCAGCCGTTTGTAACGTGCAGTCCTCGGGAAAGAATAAAAGGTAGTGTCTCTATACCCTTCTCTGTGCTAAAAGAAAGTGCTTTGTGGTTTTGGTTTTTGAAATCCACAGCCTCTATAAAAGCAGTTAATTAGGGTAAGTGCACACTATGTTACTTTGAGGCTTGAAGATCCAGTGAGGGTGGGAGAGCTGACTCAGAAGTTGTGAATTAGATTCCTGGCACAAATTCCAGTTTAAGTAACAGTTTCTAGCTCGTTGCCCCAACACGTAAGGTTGGATAAAAAACAAATGATGAGTGCAAAATATATGTTGTCAAAATGTTTATTTTCTATATATCTTTAATGAGTGCACTGATTTTTGCATTAAATTCTTAGATTATATCCCAGGTTATTATAAGCTAAATGAATTTATACAAAGGCGTGATGATCATAAAGTACACTTGCTTATTTTAGACTTAAGGTAAAATTTGTTCAAAGGTTAAAAACATTTCCTTAATTTACAAATTGGAATTATATTAATGAACTCATTAAAAAAATTAGGTAGATGTGTACATTGCATTTGCTCATACATGCAGGTTTTCGTTGTACAAACATATAAATAAGAGCTTTTAATACCACTTATTTTTCTGTGGTCTTTCATTTCTGATGGCATGCTGTACTATCTGTCCAATTTACACCTGACTCAGCAAGGTACTAGTTATCTGAAAAGTCAAGTATTTGAGATGGTCTTGACCCCTTTCCTTTTAAGTGTGCTGTTATCCTTCAAGCCAAACACATACTTAAATACCTTCCAGTAAGAAAAAAAAATATTCTCTTTGATGTAGTTGAATTATGCATGATTTTTCCCACTTCTTGAGACAACTGTGGAATCTGGGTGGCCTGCAAAAAGTAATCTCATAGGCTGCTGTGATGACTGTTTTAACCAAAACCAAAGAGCCTGCGTCTGTAAAGCTCAAGCGAAACTCCTGTATAATTTAGGGGTAAACAATTGTGTTGACTTTGGTGTTTTTTGACAGTGTGACTCCAGGCAAAGAATTAGATACAGGCTCAAGCATTGTAAATATCCAAAGATCAGATCATTCTGTTTAGATCTACTTTATATTTCTTTTATATGGAATTTATACTGATTCTGTAGTTAGGGGAGAAAAGGGTCATCCTCAGAGCTAGCCTGCCCTGTAGAGTTAGTCATTGCTAAAGGATCAAAAAGCAGCAAACACCTTTAAATGCTTCCTTAACATATATACAACTGCTCTGGAGCCGTTGATACAGGTGAATGGCAAGAGGTAACCTGGCAAATAAAATTCACAACAAAATACATGGAAGAGCTGTACATTCAGATAACTATTCTCCAACTGCAGTCCAAAAATCAGGATGGCTGCTTTACAGCTCGTTTGTAAAATCGTTTCAGTAGACATAATTTTAATTAAAAAAGAATGGTAAGACAGCATTATCGCAAAAAACTGTGATGGCCTCAGTAGAGAATGTGTGTTGGATGTGGAAAGGATGCTCTGGAGTGCTGCTGAGGGCTATTGTCAGGGAGGATTGAGCTAATACTTATTCTGCTTTCCATATGAGCATGTCACTTATTTCCAGTTGCTGGTTCAAATATTTTTTTGCATTGTTTCTTATTATCCTCAGGCTTTCAAAGCACCTGTAAAGACAAAACACTACGCCTGTGCACTACCCTCATTCAACTCAGTTATGAACTTTAGGTTGTGTCCCTATTTAAGGATGTGAGTCACAGTTGTAGTGAGCCCTTTTATGACAGGCAGGAACAGTCCCTTGCACGTTCTTATGATGTATTATCCAGATCTTGTATGTAGAAGTATGGTTGGTATATTTTTACAAAGAATAACAAAGATAGAAGAGTTTTTTAACATAATACAGGATCTAATGTAAGAATTTAATGACAGGAGCTGTATTATATTTATAAAATGTCACTTTCTCAATTAATGTTTTCTAGTAAGTTATTTCCAGTATCATTTACTACTCGTACAAATAAAATTCTTATAAAAAAGCTGAGCAAAAACACACTGAAGCTTGGCCTGCTAATATTGCTGTCTGTTTTAAGAGTCTTTTATTATACATGAGCAAGAACAAATGTCTGGGGAAAAGTGCTTATAGCCAAAACATTACATTTTGTCTTGCCTGTGGATATTTAAATAAAGGGGGAGGGGATACTGATCCAATATTGAAATGCCAGTGTTTGTTCTATTTTTGCATGAATAATACTTGCTGCCTTCAGGTCCTCACTTCTTTTGCTGCCAAGCTGTTGCACAGATTCAGTGTTTTTTAGAACAACCTCTCTGAGAATTGATACTTCAGTGCCAACAGCTTTACGTTTCTGGTGTTGAAAGATTACTGGAATGTGTTTCATTAGAAGTTCTTATATATCTCTTATAACCCTACGTTATAAATGGTTATAGGGGAAATGCTGTCATGTCTCTGGTTAAGTAGTAGAATAATCATGCTTCCTCTATTACCATAGATTGCCAAGTCTTCGTAGTTGTGCAGCCATCTGTGTTTCCATACATGTGTGGTAATGCCAAGATAGAAAATTAAGAAGTGAAATTTAAAATTAATGTTTAAATTTTGCTTGTAAACATTACATTATCTTATACAGAGATTCAGTTACTTACTATCCAAAACTGTTTAATATGAAAATTCAGTATATTTTGTTTAGTAGCTTAGCTGTTTCTCTGATCTCTCTGGATCTGTTAAGGTAATTTCCTAAGGCCTTGAACATGGAGCCAGTGGCTGCCTCTTAGGTTAAATTCACTCTTCTGCTCCTGCTCGCATTCTTCTGGAAGCTGTAGTCCTTGTGATCACTTTCATTTCACTCAGGAAGTCCAACATTCTTCTGTGTGTAACATTTGTGTTCTACAAGAGAAATGCCAGTGGTAACCCATCACCAAACAGCCTTTATGAAATGATGTATCAGTTGCTGTGAAGCAAAGTGTGTGTAACTATGCGATACGCTCAGTCTCTTGCTATGGCTATTGGAGGCTGCTCAAAGAGGGTAAGACACAGGTGTACAGTGCAATGTGATGTGTGATTTTTTTTTTTTTTTCTATTTCCTCTTCTCCTTCCACCAGGCATATTTCCTACGCTGGGTAGTCAGTGGTTTAGGGACTTCCTAAATACGAGGTTCTGTCTGGACCATTGTGCCTTTAATAGCTCTCCAAATTTCATTCAATTTCTTAACACTTTTTTTAAAATTTGGTTTCCAAAATACCCTCATGGCAATCTGTTGCATGATTTAATTGCATAGGAAAAAATACTGCTTTGTGTTTGTCCTTTCTACTTGATGTTTTCACTGGATGCCTTCTAGTTACTGTGTTACCATGTTACACTCTTAGTGAGAGCATCCATTTCACCTTTTGCATAGCTTTTACAATTTCCTAGACTCTTCTTGTATCCCCTTCTATTGCTTATTACTCTAATTCAAAGAATCCTAGTCCATGTTCCTTGTTTCTGCATGTGTCCAACTGCCCTTGACACCTTTTCAATGCATTTCTGAATTATGTTACATCCTTTTTCAGATAGGAAGAATGAAAACTTGGATGCTGTTTAAAAACGAGGCACACCTTTAACCCTGAGTTCTGCATGGAGCGTTTGGACTCTTCTCTAAATGCCCATTTCCTTTTGACTTCACTAAGTATATATTCAAAGAATGATCCCATGCACTTCTAATGTATTGTTCACTAAAGTAATAGCCTTTGTGTATGTGTCAAGAGTTTTCCCCTACTCCCATGTGCATCACCTTGCAGTCACTGACCAGGACTTTCACCTGCATTTCCTCCTTAATGTCCTGCAATCTTTTTGCAGAGCTTCATAGTCTGCTTGGTTTTGGTAGTTCTGAGTGTTTTACATGAGTAAGTCTTTTCATCTTCTGACTCATCTTTCAAACCAGTTAATTGCACTGAAATCTTTTTGCTGTGGAAACTTCCCATTTACTCCTCTTCTCCATTTGTTGTCCTGAAATTGCAGACTGAAAGAATGTGATCATAATGTACAAAGCCAGCATGCATATACATCAGGTACCATTCCTGTTTTCTGCATCAGACTGGAAATTAACATGTTTTTAAGGTTTTGTTAGAACATTTCTCCTCATCTGCTTACCTTCACTTTCTTCTTTTGATGTTCTCACTTTTCCTGAGATACAGGGTCTAGACTGTTTCTTACCTTTCACCCAAACCATTCTATGATTCTTTAATCTTTAGGAGGTTATTCAGCCAATAGGGGTTTTATAGGATTTGTGAGCTAATAGTGTGGCTTTCTTTGGAGTATTTTTTTGCCTTTTGGAAACTACATCAGTGCTCTTACCCGATAAATACAATCTATTGCTGTCTGCCTTTATCCCCTCCTTGTATACCCTTTTTGTCTCAAGTTAGATTAGTACTGTCATGCAGGGTTGTGTAAAAAAGACTATAAGCATTCAGTGCAAGGGAACAGGTCACATGAAAGTGTGGTGCATCAGTATTGTTACGTTGCTTACCTTCCATTCAAACCCAAGAACTGTTAAGTGTCTGTGTTTCCTGTTAAGTATCAGAGGGGTGAAGACATATTCTACATTTCAAGATGTGGGAACTTTTTGTAAGATTAGATTGAGATAAATTTACAGGACAATAACAAACTGGTCTACAGCAGGCACAATTCTGTTAAATACTGCAGGTATGTAAATGTTGCTTAGCAAACCACTGAATGGTTTAACTGAGTAGTTCATGTGTCTCTTGGTCCAAAGTAATTTTCTGGTGTGAGCTGAATGCCTTTTGTAAAGGTAAAGTGTAATGGTAGGAAAATGAAGACTGTAATTCAGAGGTGCCTCTTTATTCTCCTGGCATGGGGGTAACAGAAATTTTTTTTCTTTTGAACTCTTTGCTGAGAACGTGGTTCTCTTCTGTACATGAAAAGTGGTAAATGCTCCCCATCAGAGTGAATGAAGGCAAGAACCTACAATCAGTTAGGATACAGCTATACTCAAATGGAGTAAAGCAATTTGTGCCTTGAACTCAACTTCACTAAAGTTTCCCTATATTTACCTTTAATTATGCATATGCAAATCAGAAAATCAGCTCTTCAGGAAATCCCAAGGGATATATTTTCTGCTTTGTGTGATTTTAATTCTAGTTTAGTTAGTTTAGGGATTTGAATAATTTGTGACTCACTTCATCATTGCTTGAGGCCTTCTGGTCCAGTCATTGATCAGTGAAATGTACTTGTTTCTGCAGCTTATTTAACCCCTTTTTATATTTTATTTCAGAGTTGCCAGTGTCTGATCGTGGCAGTGGTGAAAATGAAACTCCCCCCCCTCTCCCACCACATCCCAGTGAGGATCTGCTGAATGAGGATTATAACCATAGGTTGGACTTTGACTGTACTTAATAGTTACAGTGCTAACTGGTCATTAATGGTTGTGATGGTTCTGATTTATTTTTAAATTGCTTTTTATTTTGTAAAATTTGTGCACTGCTTTCAGTCACCTGAACGATCCTTTAATATAAGCTGGAAATGTTACTTTAGCATTTAGTGCATTGTTCATTTCAGTTGTCCATAAACTGCAGTATGCCTGCTGTCCACAATACATGGATCACGCCGGTGGGTGCCATGTGTAGATGAAGTTACTGAAGTCTCTTTAAAGTCCTAGCCAAATTGAAGCTTCTTATGCAGATTGTGGGCCAAAGACATTATTGAGGTTACAAAATGAAGCTTTAGGAATTTTGAACATTGAAATTTGTAGGGGAAAGATTACTGGGCACTTTACCAGTTGGAAATGGATTGGGTAGATTTTTCAGATGTTTTAAGAATATCTGTTGTAAAGGCTGGTGTGCTTGATACCAGCTACAAGCTTTAAGTTACTTAGCAAATACAGATGTTTGGAAGTGCAGAAAAAAGGTGTAAACATGTTGAAGTTCATAGAATCACAGAGTGGTTTGGGTTGTAAAGGACCTTAAGCTTGTCTAGTTCCAACCCCCTGCTATGCGCAGGGGAACCTCCCACTAGACCAGGTTGCTCAAGGTTCTGTCCAGACTGGCCTTGAACATGGCCAGGGATGGAGCATTTACCACTTCTTTGGACAGCCTGTTCCAGTCCCTCAGCACCCTCACAGTAAAGAACTTCTTCCCGCTGTCTAATCTAAATCTACCCTGTTTACGTTTAAACCCATTGCCTCTTGTCCTATTGCTACAGTCCCTGGAAGGCCCCCTTCAGATACTGGAAGGCTGCTATGAGGTCTCCACGCAGCCTTCTCTTCTCCAGGCTGAACAGCTCCAACTTCCTCAGCCTGTCTTCATATAGGAGGTGCTCCAGCCCCCGATCATCCCTTTGGCCCTCCTCTGGACTTGCTCCAACAGCTCCATGTCTGTCTTATGCTGGAGACACCAGAACTATATGCAGTACTCCAAGGGGGGGGTCTCATGAGAGCAGATGATGACATATACTTTGTCATAATGACATAAACTTTGTGTCAACTAGCACAGGGTTCAAAGCAAGGTATCATTTCAACCTGTCATATTCTGATACTGAAAATTCAATCAGAGAATCATGGAATGATTTGGGTTGAAAAAAAAAAAAACACACACAATTCCTTGGAATTCTTCAGAGTTTTATGGCACCTTCCTTAAGATATCCAGCCTCTGCACTCTGCAGAGGTGGTACAAGGCTGTAAAATACTCTGTATTAGCAGATGAAGTAGAATTGAGGCAGCTACATTGGCAGTATTTTTCCAACTTTATGTAGCATGTTATTTGGAAAGGCAGTGGCTAAATAGATTAGTGGGGATAACAAAAACAAAATCAACCACAACCAAATCGAAAATGACAAATGGGCAGGTAGTGGTATGTTCCTCTTCTTCTGATAGATAAAATGTGAATTGTTAAAAACCGATTAAACATTTATATTTATATTTGCATCTGTGATAAAAATCTAGGGACTGGAGGTGATAAGTCTCAGAAAAGAAAGTTGAGGATCAGTAACTGATATTAAAATGTATGGCTGTAAGCAACTGTAGGAATAAACACATGTATTTCTCTGCATGCTTTAATTAGTTCACTTGTGTTTTGAACTGGTGCCTAAATATCTTACATGTCCTTTTTTAATTTTTTTCCCACAGCCCTATCATGAATTCAGCAGTGCGTTTAACAGATCAGCACATCAACTTCAGATCCTTGACACCAGCCAAGCAGTCCGAATCAATTAATCTGAAAGCCTCAAAAAGCATGGATCTTGGTAAGAAGGGGTGGGGTGACATACAGGTCATCTTTTCAGTCTTAGCCCGTCTGCACCATCTCTGTTTCTTGCTTTTGTTTCTTAAACACAAACATTAGGGAATAAGTTCTGCAGAGGAGCTACAGTGATGAAGACAATGGTCAGCCTCCTATAACATCTAATTGCAAGTACCCTTTTTATTGAAGCTGAAGAAAAGGGTTTGCTTTTTCCTTCTCAGAGGCCATTCTGTCCTTTGTATTGAAATCTAAACTGAAAAACAAGCTTGTAAAAATGAGCAGAAAGAATTGCTGTACAAGTTTTATATGTCTAAAAAATGTAGCAAAACAGCAATAACAAAAGCTGTTTCCACATAGCATATAAATGATTGCAAAACTACACTGGACAAAGGCTATAACTTTTGTAAGACAAATTGTGTATTCATTCGCAATGACAAAAACAGGCAATCAAAGTGTTGCTGTAGATCTTTATAAATGCTTGAAGAGTGGTCAATGTTGTGCAGAAAAACTTGCAGGGTGGGTGAAGCAGAAAGTAAGGGGTTCTTTCAATATTGGGAAGGCATTTGCAGGTGGATCCCATTAGGATGTCATTAATCATAGATTTGTGTGCTTTGTTGGATCAAATTTTGTACACCAGGAATAGAAAATTAATTTCATATATAGTTTCAAGGTAGGTTTTTAGTGGTGCTGATTTTTCCCTCCTTCCCTGAAATGCTGTAGATTGGTCTTAGATTTTGTATTGTTGATTTCTGTTGTCATCTTAATGTAATATCTTAATGTAACATAATACGTGTGTAATCTAATGGAATGTAAGAAAAGTCAAACAGTTCTTAATGCAGGGTAAGAATGGGTAAGAATTCATTTAGGGTAGTTCTTAAGGCAGAATTTTAAAGCTGCTGCATGACCAGAGCAGATACTCATCCTTTTGCAGTTCTGTTCCCCTATTTTGGCAGAGAGTAGTGTATTTTTTTAAGAATGGAAATGCTCCTCAATAAGGAATGAGTTTTACAGACTTGAGTCAAAACATGTATTGTATGTAGTCTACTGGAAAAAATAATGTTCAACTTTCCTGAGTCTTCTTTTAGAAAGATTTATCTACAGCTCTTAAAGAGGTCACTAGAAAGAATGCTCACAAGCACCAGTGTGAAATTAATCCATGGAAGTGTGCTTGAGAGCATATCCGTAACAACCAGGTAATTTGTACTTCCTTTTGTCCTGGTCTGTATTTGTTTATTTTTTGAGATTCAAGTTTATAAGTATAAGTAATCTGCTCTTGACACTCAGAAACAATGCTTTGAGAATGTATATGAGTCACTAAATCATAGGGGTTAAAAACTGAAATTAAATTAGGTGCAGAAAAAATAAATATGTTTTTAAGAGCTTTCAAAAATTCTTGCTTATAGAAGGTAGCTGCTGAAAATGCCCCTTCTGCTATGAAAATAAAAAACAAAAGGGATAATAATCAGTCTGATTGGAAGCACAGAAGTTTTATCCTTGTCATATGTAGTGATGTGAAGGTAAATCTATTACCTGAGATAGTCATGTAAAAAACTGAAGGGACTGAACAGACTACAATCATCCTGTGTTATAGAAATGACAGTAGATGAAGTAAAATTGCTTGCACGTAGCTTGACAAATAAAGAAACTGAGGAAGATAAAAGCTGGGACCTTTTGCAGTCATTTTCTAGTAAGCAGTGAAGTACCATGTTCAGCTTCCCACCTTTTGAAAGATTTTAAGCAGAAGCTTCTGGCTGGAAGAGTAAAAGGAAAAGGAACATGAAAATCTTAGGTGAAGTAACTGCAATATAAAATGCAGTAATATTTTGCTTATTACTGAACTGCAGTCAGAACCCATAGTAACTGCACATCCCAACATGGAGCTGTGTATCCATTACTGGTTTCAGTGCATTGTTTGCCACCAAAATAAGAAAAGTGCTGCTGTTTTCATCTTCCAGATCCAGAGTTGAGCTTGTCAGAAAGATTTATTCAGCATCACAGAGGATCTGTGGAGCAGATTGGTAACAAAGAGGAGGTGAACACCACCCAAAAGTGCTTGTATAACTGCTAGGCCCTCTTTTTCTAGTCCTCACGGGGTGCTGTCTACTTACTACTTTTCTTTTGTACTCAAGTTCTGCCAATGCCTTCCAAAATAAGTCCAACATCATGAACAGAAAATTCAAGGAATTGGAGTTCAGGAGGAGAGCTCTGAGGCCATACAAATGTGATTTAGGTGCAGTTCCTTCCCCTTTAAACCAAATTGTCTCTGAATCAGGTGTGATACAGGGCATCAGTGTGAAATCTGTACTGCTATTCACTTTACAAAACATTTTACTTCACCTTAAAATGTATATAATGCATCTACTGCCTAATTATAAGATTTGAAAGGCATGGATTACATAATGGCATCACCATTAGAAGGATCATCAAAGGTCGGTAATAGAAAATTTTAAGCACTTAGAGACCCCAGAATCCAAACTTTTCTACAAATTGTGAACCTTATGATTAAATAGTAAATTCATTAAATTGGAGAGCTAATCAAATTATATAGTAAGGGTCTTTCTGGCTTTGATGAAGGTTAATGTAGGCACAAGAAGCAAAACTCTTAAGTAAAGACTAGTCTGTAATTATATAGGTTCACAATGGAAACCCATTTAACACTGATGTTTATCTTTTCAGATTTTATATAATTTAGGCCCAGAAAACTTTGAGTGCCTAATCTGTTTTCCAGTTGTATTTATTTACAAAATAATTATTCTAAATTAATATCCTCAGTGAATAGTATAAGGAAATAAGGATGGGTGATCAAAAAGTATTCAGTACTGCTTACATGTTGAATCAATTTGTCATTGTCAGTCTCCAGAGCAAATCTTGCAATAACGGTTACTTGCCAGTTGGGCAGATATGGTTTAGTTTATTAACTCTTAGTGCATTTTTGGGTTGTCGATTGAACAGCTGGACGGGAACAATGGGCATGAACCGCTGCCAACTTGTTTTTTAGGCAGGGCTCTGTGCTGCCATGCATGTGCCATGGGTCATATGAACTGACACAAGTTTTAACTGCTGAATTCACAAACAGCATGAATCTAGAAGTACCATTGTCTAGAGATGGTGTATTTGAAGAATTCAGGTTATTTGCAGATGAGGTAGTTTTAGCTTGAATCTACTTTAAATAAATACATTAAAAATCTGTGGCGTGTGTGTTACTGAGTTACAATTGTAGACACCCCAAACATCAAAAAGGCAAGTACAGTGATAGTGATGATATCCTTCTGCAAATCATATGGGGGTAGGGTGACCAGTTCCCTGCTTTAGCATTCATGATTTCCATAGTCTCAAAGGCTTCTCAAAATTTACAGCTTCATTCAGAGTAATCGGGTACAGATTAGTTCCATATCAGCTATAAGTCCTAATGTTCTTTCCTGCTGCCGTGTTGAGATAATGACAGCGCTTTCAGGATCACTGGTAGAGTTCATATCCTGTGTCTTACAGTATATTTTTCTTTGTCTTGCCTACTTTTATTTTGAACTGGTGGTGACAAAAGAGCACAGCTACCCCTTTCCTTCTGCCGATCCTGGCACCTGGCATGTCCACTCACTTACATATTATTTTTGTTACGGATTGGTGGTGTTTGAATGTGTTGGCAAACATTCTCCTTGTACTGTGATTTCAAGAATTTGTGCAGGGCCAAATGAATACTAAGAATGCATGGCTGTACTGACCAAGCTTAGATTGTATGCCAAGTTTGGACTTGTGCTTATAGCATAGTGTTAAAAATAAGAAAAAAATCAGAAATGCCACAGTTATGTCATGTTCTCCCTTCCCAATGAAGTGGTGCGCTTTTTTTGAAACTTAATGGCAGATTAAAAATGAAGAAGAAATCAGTGGCTTCTATACATGTCATTGGAAGGATGATTTTCCATGTAACAACCTTCTATAAAGACACATTTTGCCATACGTTACCACAGTTGTCTAGAGAAGAATTTCTGTATAGTTCATCAGAATCCATTTTCAGTAGTTCTTTTTTTTTAACTATTAAAAGGTAATTTTTGTGGAGAGTGAATGGCAATATGGAATTTTTTTTGAATGTTGTATTGAAATGTGAAAATAGGTGTGCTATTAAGAAGAAGACAGGAAAGATGGTGTTTTATTATTTATCTCCAACGCCCCTATTTTCCATAAATCTTTATGCACAGGAGTGATTTAGGCTATGCATTAATGTACTGTAAAAACCGCAGCCATGGGAATCGTATGCAAACACATGAAAGTGTGGCTTGGTTTAACCTGAAGCAATGTGAAATTGAATTGTATGAGTATATAGTAATTTTGTTGTGTATCAATTCAGGCAAAGTACTGTGTGGATTTATATTTGAGGATGTTGGTATAATAACCCATGACCTCTATCCCAAAGTACTGCTCATCTCCCATTCCTTTCCTGTAAATAGCAAAAGACCCATAGATCTTAACTGGTTAAGCTCTACAGCCTGAAGAAATTGAAATACCCTTTACTTGATTTTGAATATGGATAAGATATTATTTGCTAAAACATCATTAGATGTAGAGTCCCTTAACCATAGGGCTTTTTTATTAAAGATACTGGCCAATTTATTTATGTATTTAGGAATAATTAGCAAGTGAATATGCAAGATGCAAGGTGTGGAGTATTCTGCCAGGAAGCCAATATTTAACTAATGTCTTTGTTAGTGAAGGGATGCATTTGATTACAGTTTATACTTTTAGAACACCTTAAAACAAAGAGAAACCAGGTTTTCACATCCAGAAGTATGTAGGAAAAGCAGTGAAGATGCAATTAGCTACTTTGTGGTTTGCGCTGAACCAGATTATTCTTATTCTGAGTGTAATTTTGGATGTTGAAATAAATATCTCAAAACGTAACCAAATGAGGAGTGGGCAGAACTGATGGAGAGTACCCTTTAATCAATGTTTTGATTCAGATACAATTAAAAAGAATACATTTTGGAGAGTCTAGTGAGAATTACAGTCTTA